TACAGTAAGTACAGTTGTATGCAGTAAAATCCTAGAGGCTACTGTCCCTTTAACTGTAAAGCTAGTGATATGATTGCATATCGTAGGAAACAAAAGTATTATTATCACTACCTTACAATCATGCTCTTACCTCATCAGAACGCCGATCCGGATAAGCCTGTTGTCTTCTCGAACCAGGACATGGAGGAGGTGGATGCCTTCCCGGAGGACACTGCCTTGTTGGTGCGGATAGATGGGGAATCTCATGTTGCTAGCCACCAAGTAAGCGTTGCCACTTTCGAAAATTCACACTTAAATATTTTTTGTTGTTGTTTAACAGAAGTAGGGAATTATTTATCATGTTCGTTGTACATATGGTCACGTAATTAGCTGGAAAAATGCCCTAAGAATTTTCTCAGTTATCTCTAACCTGCTACTCATGTATACTCGCTGAGATGTTGTGTCGATAATAATAATCACGTTTAACTAATAATAATAATAACAACAATAATAATATTAATAATAACATTAATGCACTCGTATACGTAGCTGGAGCGATCGTGGAATAACTCAAAATACCAATGCAATGCCCCCTCTCACTTGGGTTTTGCAGGCGAGCCTCAGCAGCAATCAGTGGTTATTCAACGTCGACTTGCCATCGTCTGCGTCACGCGCGCTCTGCCTTCGTCACGACGTCGACGGACTGCTCTGGCAGCCGGACTCCGATTCCGCGCAATTTCGGCACGTCGCGACCTTCAACGCCCTCGGCTACGTGCAGGCGTCGAAGCAGCAGCTGCAGTATGCTGCCTGTGCCGCCGACCGCTCGTTCGTCGCACTATGCGACTGCGCGCGCCACGTGTACGTCTACTGGCAGGCGGTTGCCGTGAAGACGGAGTTTCGCAACCGGAAGTCCGGCGCCGACGTCAAGAACGTCGCCAAGCAGCAGGTCGTCAGTCTGGATTCCGCGGACGAGATCGTCGGTTTCCGCGTCACGAACGAGTGGATATTCGTTTTGACGGCGAAGTCGCTTTCGGCGCTCAAGGTCGTGTGATGTTCGACGATGCGAAACGGACAGACGATGCGAACTGCGACGATACGCAAAACGAGCCAACTCCCACATCTGGCAGAGCTCCAAGAATACTATGGCGACTGTCTCCGATTACATATTTTAAGAATATGTGGGTTTTGCAACCATGATCGAGAATTGTTCTACTACTACGAATGACTTCTTCTACACTGTAACTTCTACGATAAATTAGATTTATTTTTGCATCAATAACTATACTGTCTGTATCAATGTGATGCATCAGTCATGCACGAGGATGGATGCATGAATGTAAAACTTATTAGGTGTAGCTAATCATAATCTCACACAAAGACGTTTCTACAAATACTCAGTTTATTCCAACGTTCAAAACGTAGCACGTCACATTTCAGAAGTATATGTTGATTTGCAAGAAGTATATAATTATGTCACAGAGATTCAAGTTTTATAACAGGTATTTTGTTGTCACTTGCTTTATGAATAGTGAATTTCTTTTATGAATACAGAAACACCTTAAACATGATTATCCAACAATGACAAGTTTTTAAGTTGATAAGTTTATGAGCTAGAAATTAAAACATTTTTTTATGTGATGTGACTGGTTCACTACACTACAACTTGCTACATTAATCATTTTTGGTGCAAGCATCTTGCATTATCTGTGACCATGTGATTCACGTACGACACGAATGTGGAGCTTCATCTTTCCCCAACCCATAACACAGACATAAAGGGCATACCACATGAGTAATTTAATCATAAAGTATCAGTAATACATGGAATACCAAGTTAGCCAGAATCAAGAATCAGTATTTCATTCATGTCAATAAAGACACTTGATTATCCACGCGACGGGACAAGTCTGAAACATTCCCTTTCCGTGTAACATCCTTTAAATTAAAATATATAATATTATACTCTTCGATGCACGTGTGTGCAGGTGTCATGCTGTTACTTTTAATGTCACCACAGCACTTCTACCTGATGCTGTGGCATGATGACATTCAGTGTCTTTGTCATCGGGGACATCACTACAGTGCTTCCACCTGCTTCTATGACACGACATACAGTGTCTTTGCTAGCGTTGACGTCACCACAGTGGTTCCACCTGCTGCTGATGTGACACGATGACATGCAGTGTCTTTGCTAGCGTTGACGTCACCACAGTGGTCGTACCCGCTGTTGCTGTGACATGATGACATCCCAGCATCCTTGTTACTGTTGACGTCACCACAGTGGTTCCACCTGCTGCTGATGTGACACGATGACATGCAGTGTCTTTGCTAGCGTTGACGTCACCACAGTAGTTGCAACTGCTGTTGATACAGTATTATTCAGTGCAAGCCATTGAAGTTCATGTCACCATCGAATCTATTGGCTATACTGCACGCGCACGCTCGCCGGCGACACGATACTGCTGGTGCTCGTGTCTGGCACTCACGGCTTGCTGACCTGTCTGACGACTCGGTCGTACTCAAATTCCCGCGAGTCCACCCGCTCCAGAAACGCACGTTTCTCGAGGTACCTGGACAAGCACATACAACGTGTTTTTGTAATGATGACAGTAGAGATGTCCAAAAAATGTTCGCCCTGCGATTACTCTGTGTTAATTTCAAATTCCTTCCATTTATGTTGTTGCTATTTATATATTAGCATAGGCAATTTAATTTAGCTTTCTCGTTGCAAAAATTAAGAAATATTCACGAGGACTTTGTCATTCATTAATAATGGCTTTTAAACTAGCACATAAAGAGAGATGAATTTTAAATGATTGTTGGTTACACGTTACAAAATGTTTAATTTAAACCAAAAGTATAACATATATTAATCCCAATGAGTGTTACACCTTCAATCAGCAGTGACTGACTAGGACGAAATACATATATACGATCAAGAGCACACTATCTGTAAACAACAACACCAATTGACCACCTGCCTTGTTCCTGAGCCAAGCTAAAAGTGTAAAGATGTACCAGTCTCTGATTATCATAGGCGTGTTCCAGGCCTAATTCAACTGAAGCGTAGACATGGTTTAAGTTTTTATCATTGGTTGCCCTATAGTGCTTGTGCTCTCGATAACAATATAAAATAAAAACAACACTTACGATCCTTTTGACTTGTTATGCAATTTCAAATCGTCCTCCAGCTTTTCATCTTTCTTATAGCTATCCCAATCCAATTTAGATTTGTCCTGTAAAAAACATGCATGTCACTGTACCTTGACAATACCGATATTCGAAACTCTGGTTACTCTGGTTATTACTGGTTAGAGCAAAAGTTTCATGTTCCAACATGCACTTAATGTTTAGCACGTGTGTGAACGCATGTATGTTACATTAGTATTGTGAGATCCAGTCGGAGACAAGACCGATTGTTTCGAATGACTAAACTACTTTTTCAACTATCCAGCGTCAATGACAAAGAACACTTAATTTAAAAATTGTAATCCGCGACGTCAATGGCCAGGGTTTCTTCTGAAGGAAAATTAGACAACGGCGGTAATGGCCAGTTTGGGGAAAAAGCGCACATGATGGATTCAAAGGCGTGCAGGTAGGCACGAATGTGGTTTCTGCAGGCAGACGTGGGGGGGGGGAGAGATAGAGGGGGTTCGGGGGTCTCCCCAAGCAAAATTTTAAAAATGTGATTGTCTTAGACTGCATTTGAGGCACCCCCAAAATAAAATTTCACCTTTTAGTTTAAATCTTACTCTGTTAGCAGTCCCACCAAGTCTCACGCTGCGCATTTAAATTTGACAACGGCGGTGCGCCGCAGTGCTTCCTATGTAGAAGAAACCCTGATGGCGTTATTTCCAAAGAAACAAAAACAAAACGGGTTTTACTTCTCAGGCCACAAGTAAAAAAAGCTTTGTTTGCCCTCACCCTACCCAGGCTGAAAAGTTTGGGTAGGTAGGTCGGGTTTTTTTTGGAGGGCGGGGGGGCCTTTTTACAAATTCAGCATGGTGTCTACATGCTTGGGTGTGCTTGTGTGGAGATACCTTTTATGTTGAATGTTTGTTTTGCTTGGTACGTATAATGTATTGCCTACCGATTTATATAATGTACAGTGATACAATTTGTTTAAAAAGAAAAGAAAAAAGATCAATACATTTTTTTGAGTCAGCCCCTTTTTGGCGAGTCGGTCGGGTGAGGGCAAACAAACAACATTTTTATTATGGCCTCACCAGCACACTGAGTTTGTTCTTCTTCCCGATCTGTCCCAAGAGGCCGGTGAGACCAGGCTGCTTGCTCCCACCTGGTCTCACGTTCGCTGGCTGTCCATTTACGCCCGCTCCCACTTTACCTGCTTTTGCAACTTCTTTCGAATCCGCTGCGACTGTTTTAGATACTCTGCAAAATGCAAATTAGCTTTAAAATGTTCTTTCAATAGGTTCAGTTTCGATATGGGGTAAGGGGGGATTACAAATTAACGACCACTATATACAAGATTATATAATGATCAATGATTACCGACAGATTATATGAGGTATGTTCTGACTCAACACTCACTTCAGCACTGAAAATTTGCTTATCATTTCCTATAGGTGAGATAAATACATTTCTTACTTCACCTCCTCTCCGGCAAAATCGTAAACCTTAGTGATCACTACAAGGGTTGGGTTCTTTCCGCTCCCAGAGACGACTTCAGAAACAGTCTTCTCTGTTGTGGAAGATAATGGTTTCTGCGACAATATAAAGAAGCAAAAGTTTATGTACAAGAAAAAAGTAGATTCGTATGTCACACACTTAATTTTAGATTTGCATACTTGCTTTGTGGGAATTAATGTAAATTCTCTATTAATAACTATGCAGACTAAGAATTTGCCTAAAAACTAGAAAAATATAATGACTTCTGAGATAAAAAGCAAGTAAATGTGTGGAAAATTTCATATGTATCTCACATGCCCAAATATGAATATCCCTGAATCATATGATTATCTTGAAGTTATGGTTTGAGGAAAGTGGTAACAGATATCGTGCTTGTCAGACCTGGCACAGTACTTTATGAATGAAATACTAACAGAACCTACATTATTAGGACTAGCCAATTGTTGGGAGGCAGCTAACTTCTGCTTTTTACTAGGTAGGTCTTTATTGAAGCTTGCCCAAAGTGCATCTGCTTTCTCCTTCTCTTTTTCTTGAATAATCTAGAGACAATGAGAAAACGAAGATTCTTCAATGTATTCTGTTTACATCCGGTCACAATCGATGAATTCAATTACTCGGAAGTTTCTTGGGATCGTGTATAATCGTTCAAATTTTCGTTAATGAACTCCCGGTACTGCTTTTGCTACAGCGTGAATAATATTTCACGCACAACCAACATCAATTACCACCTACACTAAGTGTGCTACAACTTGCCTGTTTTTTCTCACTTGCAAAATCTGGACACTTGTCTTTCTTTTCCTCCTGCATGGTCGCCGGCTCCTCTTCGTCTAACTGAATACCGCCCTTCCTTTTTCTGTGGGAGTAATAATAAAAATTGACGTAATAGGATACGCTATTATACCAATTTATCACTACCTGTGAAGGTGTCAATACTATTGTGATCACAAAATTCGTGAACATACATGTGTTTATAATATATCTTATGCAAAGTACTATGCAACAAGAACAATCATATATGCAACACTTTGTAAATTTTCTTATTTGGAATACCAACTGTTTGCTTTTTGGAATACCAATTGTCTGACTACGACTGTATATCAGGAAATATTCAAAAAACAAGAAATATGAAATATATAAGGACAAACGAATTATTGGGATTATATAAACATCCGATTGCTACGAGATAAGCAATAACACACCTAACTTCAAGAAGTTTGCTGGTTTTTGACCGCTTCTTCTTTGGCAGTTTTTGCCCATTCGGGACCTTTGCGGCTGATTCCAGTGAATCTCCCTCATCATCACCGGATTCTTCTTCTTCGGAAACAATTTCTTCACCTACAATGGAAAATATGACTCAGATTATTAAAGCGAGGGCGAACGACACAACTGGAATGATATAGTTTATGGTTTAAATAATAAGTAACTAGAATAATCGATGTATATGATATATTTTTAATAGCTTGTGACATATATTCTAGTATTTTGAAATTTTTTATTTCTTACTTGTTCCCAATCCTTTTGAAAATAAATGGCAAAAATCTTTTCATTGAAAAACAGAAATATTGGTTTGCCAGACCAGCATATAGAATTTTAAGTAAAATACATTAACAATACTGATCGTGATTGTGACAGTGTGATTATATTCAAGATTAAGAAAATAGTTTCATCGATAAAGTTGACTAATCAAAGTAATTATTGTAGCTGGAGATATCAACTGATATGCATTAACCCACTGATGTAAACGAATTACACTGACACTGACCTTGAACGAAAGTATAGGATTGCAGCGTAATATATTCTTTATCAAAACTATCATTTATAGTATATAATACTATATTAACAACACGGTATGTTGTTAGGTATAAAAGATGAACCACAACAATTTATACGGCTGTAAACGTTGGGTCGTACGATAGTTTGCGTTCTATAAATGGCACAATTTGGGCAAATTAATGTGAGTAGAGTGTGAATGTCAAGAGGTGGGACTAAAGCCCGGCGCACATTGCCGAACATTTTGCTCAAAAACATTATCGTAGCAATGTTCCATGAAATGTTCGGCAGTGTGCGGTGAAAAAAGTCGCCGAACATTTGTTCCGAACAATGTTTCTGAAGATCAGAAATGTTTGATATCTCGAACATTGTTCGTCGAATGTTCGTCAATGTGCGCGGAATGTCGAACAATTCTAGGAACATTTGTAAATGCCTATCACGCCGATTGGCCACACGCCGATCACGTCACTCTTTACAACACAGCTACTAGACGGCACCACGAGGTTGTTCGCTGCAAAATGTTCGGCAATGTGCGCTGAGCAATTGTTCACCCGCACATTGCCAGACAAAAACATTTGTTCGGGAAAATGTTCGGCAATGTGCGCCAGGCTTAAGCCAACATGTTTATTGCGCTGGCTACAGTAATAATAATACTTTATTGCACAACAGGCTACAACGTAGCGGGGGCTGATGGCGATGTCATGCCTTGCTGCAGATTCCTTGCTGGTTCACCCCGTTTCCGTATAATAGATTTCGTATTTATTTAGCATTATATTTTATTGAAACGCTCCAAGTGCCTGTGCACACGAAGTAGAAGGATTGCAGTATGAGTTTCAGTTTTGCTAATTTCCTGTTTCTTTAGATAATCCCCGCAGCTGCATTAGAGTGCCTTGTGAAAGACAAGAGTGAAGAGAGGGACCTAAGATACAATTACAATTGAATTAGAGGCGACGTTTATCCCTGTTTTTTACTGGGCAAGGTTTGCGAACGCGAAAATTTCGTCAGTCTTTCTGTGATTTCGCGTGACACAGCTCGGTTACGAACAGAGACATTATGTTTTATAACAAGTGAACACTGTTCACGTCCCAAATGTCTGCCCTCTGTGTCCCCCACTAAAATTGTGGACTGTTCGCTGGCAGCTATAGATGCGTGCGCCGGTCAAAGCTTTCGGCGCACGGATCCATAGCTGCCAGTGCTGCATACTGTCGTAGGACGTTCCCGCGGTCGCGTGCGCCTTG